AGCACCAGGCAGAAAAGCCTACCAGTCCCCCTCAGAACTGAGCCAAGCCAAACCTGGTCGGGATTTTGGTGGGGGTCGTTACTAGGAGGGGCAAGTCCAAGCTTAACCAGTTTGGCAATATCCTTACGAGGAGGGCAAGGGCAGGTTTGGCGAAGTCCCTAACAAGCAGAGAACTGCCCCAAGCGAAAAAGGAAAGCGAGAAGAGGAGATTGGCCAGCTGGTACAAAGACGAAGACAACTCCGTGGGAACTGAAGGAAAGCAACTCAGGCAGCAAAAGAGTGGCATAAGGCACTGTAGGAGGAGATTACGAGCTGTAAAAGAACTTCCCCAAGGTGGTAGGGCTGCTGTGGTACCCCATGAGAAGTGTTTGGAAAAAGCAATGCAATAACGTCTGAGAGGCAACACATGGTAGCAGTTTTAATCCCCAAGGAAGAGAACTCAAAAAACATCAACCAATTCAGGAGCATCACCCTGTTAAACGTTGAAGGGAAGATCTTCTTCTCTGGACCGGCTGATGGATAACAGCTACATCAACACCAGCAGCCAGAAAGAAAGAGTCCCAGGCTGTGTAGAACACGCCATGATTGGGGAACAGATTCAGAAGGCCAATGCTAACAGTATTCACACTGTGGGTGTGAATATTATAGATATAGTTATATTATATAGATTATTATAAGTTAGATGTTCATGTGCATGAATACAGGTTTACTGAAAGCTGTAATGAAAAAGGATTCACATTGGTTTGGAAAATAAAGTGTGTTCATGGCAATTGGTGTGACTTTCAATTGCAGTGAAATGTTAGTTAGGAGTTGTATTTTGTTCTGGTGTAAATTCATAAAGCAGAGGAGTAGGAAAATTGAGTCTATGCAGGATGTAGTTTCATATTTCAACAGAAATGAAATATGTTGCACTAGCGGGAGCTCCTTGTCATTCTTGGCCCGGTAACATACGGTGTGTTGAAAACACTTATGAGTTGGAAAAAAACAACAGTTTGCTTAAAATTGTCATAACAAGTTAGTAGTATTTTGGAAGAAGTGTTAAAGAGCATATTGTTCTGCTCAGAAAACCCACCAACGTTGCTTGCTGAGCAGGTGGACGTAAACACCAGGCTCTCCTGGGTGCGGATGGCCCAACATCCGCTCCCTGCTTGTCCTGTAGTACCAACGAATCCCGGTAAGGATGATTACTGTCACGAGGGCGAAGGATTCAGATTCTGTGGAACCTGGAATGTAAATGTGTCAGAATCTTTCGTTTCCCTTTTTGATCAGTAGTTCCAGTGCTGCCTGGTTATTATGCAGCATGAAATCTATATCTTTTCTTATTCAGCATGCACCAAAGAGACCGTAGTCGATGTATTCTCTGTTGGAGTCTCTGCAAAATGGCAATGGGGAAATCCAACTGTTTGTGTAGTCTTTAATGAAGCCTTCTTCCATCTCCTGCAAGAACATCACGTCTTTAATAAATAACTGGTTGCCCCTGTCAATCTGGTAAAAGACAGTTTTTTGAAAATTGTGCTAGTAGATTACTCACGTCATGCATCTCTGCATTGACTTTGTATGTAAACGCAAATTCACATTGGGAATTACACATTGCACATGTGTTGGGACAAAACACACTTTTAGCACAAATACAAAAACATTTGTTTATTTGTGCAAGCTGAAGTTTTCCAACTGAAAAAAGATGTGAAACTTTGTTTGCGAAAGCCCACAAATGCCTGCAAATGTTCTTCCTGTGCACTGATGTCCTGCTGTATAGTCAATCCGAGCTCCATTGAGAAGACAAGTATAAGTGTCCAGGACTTAAAAGTGTAAAAAAATTAATTCTGTAGCAGGTTGGAAAATAATAGTATATCGAGAATAAAATGTAGAAAAGTCTAATATGTTGAATACTATTAGACTGTGTTGGTCAACAGTTTCCTGGTAGAATTGTTTGAAAGCAGGGCCTATAAAGACAAAAATAGAATTAGTTTGGCTATCTCTGCTAAATCGATAATTGAGAGTATGAACTATTGATTGTTTGTATGGTCAAATAACATGTAGTAGTGCGTTGATACCACCAATGTGTCTCTTCTCTAGGGTGTTTGGCCTAAAGGTTACCTGAAAACCAACATACAGTTCTGGGGCCTCGTTTATAAAACCTTGCGTAGGATTTGCGCCAGAAGTGGCGTACGGATGAAACATAGGACGTGCGTACGCACAGAAATATTCAGACTTATAAAACCGTGCGCACACACGTCCTACACAATTTTCCCTTAATAAATCACAATCGATTCTAAATGCAGCGCAGCTTTTGCGCTTCATGTCACACCCATAGTTGCCCTTATATAGTCTGTGGAACGCCCACAAATTTAATATCCATCGATTGCGAAATCATGACAAACACTGAAAGGAAAACAAAGAAACGTAACTTCACTCAGTGTGAAGTCGAAATGATCATTGGCGAGGTGGAAAAAGAGAAGTAAAATGCATTTTGGAGTGCACTGTATGGGCATTACTAATGCCAAAAAGGCACTTGAGTGGCAAAAGGTTGCAGAGGCCGCGAACGCTGCAGCCTCACAAAACTCGGACCGTGGCCAAAATAAAGAAAAAATGGTCTGACATCAAAGTGGATGGGGAAAGGGAAAAATCTTGATGAGAGACTGGCGGCAATGATTGGGGATCGGGGACAGGGTCTGGGCCAACATCGGCGTCAGGGGGGTCGAGGCACGTTTGGAAGCTGTGCCACATTATGTAGCACAGCACATGCCAGCACGATATTGCACACCTTTTCAGGAGTAGACAATAACCTCCCTCCAGTGCAGTCGAGGCAACACCATTCTGCCCTTAAACAGGCCGATGGTGCGCTGCACTACAGCGCGAATCCTTCCATGTGCCACATCTTCTAAGAGCGCAAGATCAGCCATTTCGCGTCATTACGCATTGTGATGGCATCATGGCATTTTATTACCGTCCATTTGATTGCATCTGACAAGCAACAGCTGTGTTTTGAGGATGAATTGCATAACATGCCAATATTATTGCAGAACATATTTCACTTGAAAACAGTCTAGTTTTACACACTTTCACACACGTTTGCGTGTTTCTTGCATTTGCCGACGGTTCTCATTTCACCCGTTTTTGTGCGTACGCATGGGTCCGAGCTTGCGTGAAAGACCGCACATTTTTCCCTCAAGTTTGCTTTTAATAAATACCAATTATTGCGTAGATGGCGGCGTACGCCTTCTTTTGTGCGTACGCAACGTTTATAAATGAGGCCCCTGGGCGGTACCATGTATGAAGGGTATTATAGAAGTTGAATTTGAGCTTGTTTTGCTCTACTGGGATAGAGATCATGCAGACAACAGGCATTAACGTGATAGGAATGTATTCCAATGGGTTTTGGGGTTGTAGGTAACTGTGCTGTCAGGTAAGGTGCAGAGTTACATATGCTGTGTTGAGGTCCTCGTTAGTGGCCGGCTGTAAAATACTGCCAGACTAAATAAAGTGCTGCTGCTGCCTGGACCACATGTGGCCAGTCCACTTTAGAATAAGATGACTGCCATGTTTTGTGATCATTATTGGTGAAGTAAACAGCTGCTTTGTTTGCACCTAACCTGTGTGGTCCTGCTTCTAAACATCCAGCTGCTGCGCCACTATTTTACCAGTAAAAGGTCACACTGGGGTGTGTCAATGAGACCCTAGATGAGTTCAACGTGATAAACAAGCATATATTTAAAGAATACATGATCTAAACAGTAATCCGTAGCGGTATATCTAAAACAATCAATATATCAAATATCTACTACTGTCATAGCAGGCCGAAGAGGAGCGTGGTGACTGGGGACAGAGAGCCTGAGCGGCTGCTGTTTCCACGTGGTCCTAATGCGTGGGCCCTCATGATTTGTTTTTTTGTAATGTTTGGACCGCAAAAAAGGGAAGGGTCTAATGCCACTCAGTAAAATAAGTGTGTACGTGTCGTCCAAACTGACAAGGAGGTCTTAATGAGGTCCAACTTTTTTCAATGGCATTTACATCTAAAACAGCTGTCATGTCAGTGAAAGACCATACATATACTGTACATTTAAATAATATTCCCTTATCACCTCGCCAACAAATCTTGATTGAGAAATGATTTGAATATACCATGACAGGCTATGTGGCATTTGTTTTAACCTACTGCACGTGGGGTCTTTACAGCATCTTTTCAAATACTGTCAGAGGAACAACAAGGGCTGCTGACAGATTTCCTCTAAGGGCTCTTGACACGGAACACAAGGGTGCAACCATGGTTTAGACATTAGGGGGGTCCGCTGGACGCTATGGCCGATGGACCCCCCCCCCGTTGTGTTGTATATTGGGGGGGACAGACCCCCCCCCAAACGATGCGTAGTTACGCCCTTGACAGAACACATTTGGAAGAAAAACACCTGTGTAGGTCCTGGTAGCCTATTGTACATTCTGTCTCACATGTTTTACTCGGACCCATTAATAGCTATTGTTAACGTCAATAATTGCACCTAAGCTTTTCCTGATGTGACAAGTTGAAGCCAAATGTCTGCTGTGAAAAAGGCAAATTACTATACAGATTAAGTGGCCCTGCCACATGACTCAAACATTGCTTCTACATTTTGTAATCTTTATTTTCTAGAAATAATTATAACTTATCCTACCATCAGTAGAAATAATCTAAACTCACTCAGACATTCATCAACATAGATAGATAGAGATAGACGACACAAAATAAAATAAGTCCGAAAAAATTCTCTGACAATTATAGAGATATGTGTGTGATATGGCTCTGTAAAAACATTGTTTGTGGTTTAACAGTACAATCTGTGGGGAATAAAAAGTTGGATGTTTTGTTATTGTGGTGCCTCTGTCGGTCCACGGTGACGTTGTCGGTAGCGCAACCATTTTGGTATTTATTCCAATGGGCGTTTTTCTTGACCAATGACAGCGCTACTCAGATAACCCTCAGCCAATCGACGGGAAGCACTGTGACTCACCAAATAAGGAGAGACAGCACCAAATAAGGACACGTTGTATCTCTTTATAAGGAGGAAAGTAGTTCCTGGATTGTAATATTCATACGCTGTCTCAAACGGTGATTTAAAAAATGACGTTTTTATGCGTGACTTTACTAGGAAGACCGGAATAATACTTCAGTTTAGTGTCCCGGAAACCTGCATTTGGACGCCAACAGGCCAACAACGGCGTTGTCTTCTGCTCGCAATGCGGACTACGTAACATGGCGGATCGACATCGAGGGCGCTGTTCGCGTTTTCCTTTTTGAGAAAGTGCTCCGAGTTTTGGTAATAGAGGAGGGGGTGAACCAAACCGAGGCGGGTTGAAGGGTCTTGGCGTTAGCGTCACTTTCGAAAGTTTGTCGCGGTTCTCCAAACCGTAGTCTCTTATCTCCAAACGGGTCTGGTTTGCCTACGTGTTGTAGCCCGGGCGTGTAGCCTATGCGATTTATCAGCCATTTCCGACACAACGCGCTCCAGCTCCTTTAGCTGGCGTTCAGAGACTCGATTCAATTGCATAAATAGAATGTTACCGAGCCGGCTTGGATCGGCACCATCTGGAAACGGGTCCTCTTCGGGCAGAGGTAACACGGGACACGGGTTGGCGATTGTCGGCAGCGGGATCCGTCCCGTTTTAGTCAGAGCAGGGCAAGCTTTACCTGGGGTCTGCGAGAGTGACGGGCGACAGGGGGAGAGAGACGCCATCGGGATGCTGGGGGCTAACGGTCCAGGGTGTTCGAGAGGTGTGAGACCGGGGAACGGCATTGGGATGACCCCTCTACAGACCGCCGTCCAGAGCAACATGGTGCCCGCGGGAGTTGGGTTGGCGCACGGAGCCAGGTTCGACCCGGACAGGGAAAGCGCGCCTCTGTGCAGCGGCTCGGACAATGACTCTGACTCCGCAGAGGATGACGATCCGGTGGGTTCACTGGGGGACAGCCGGAGAGGGGTGAAACGAGAGAGGGGGGAGATGGAAGCAGCGGGGCCGGGACAAGAGGTGGGAATACCTCCCGGAGGTTACGGCATGGTCCCGGGGGGCGTCGCGGGGGCAAAGCCGGGGAAGAAAACACGTGGGCGCGTCAAGATAAAGATGGAATTTATTGACAACAAGTTGAGACGTTACACCACTTTCAGCAAGAGGAAGACTGGTATTATGAAAAAGGTGAGTCGGGTGATTTCCTTTGGATCTCATTCCACTGCAGTAACATTTTATGAGTGCAACGTCTTGATAAACTGAATTATGTAATTCATGAAATTGATGACCTCTTCATAAGCCGTGGAATCATAACATCAGTGGGAAATATACTATGGGATTGAAACATGGAATAGTGGGCCCTCATTTTATGAAAAGGCATTTAACCTGCAGTAAATCTTGTACAGATTCCTTTCTTTATAAAAAGACAAAAACAAGCGGTGGGGGGGGCAACAGTTGTGACATTCAATTGGCTTGAAATAGACTTCGGCAAATAAATTCTATTTAAGACCCACTCACTGCAACTATCTCTCTCACACACGTGGCCTGGCACACAAGATTTCCAAGATTTTATGTACACGTAAAGCTAGTTCTCAGCAGTAGGCCTGGGTGCACACAGGCTGTCCCTTCTGTCATTTGGAAGCAGGGCTTTGCTTGCAGACAGTGAGCAGCAGCAGGCCTGTAGTTGCCAACAGCTGACTAAACCCCAGGGAAAGCAGATCAGAGGACAGTCGGAGAGCACTGCAACAGGAGAGCGGAGCTGTGCACGCAGTATGGAACCCAACATTGTGACACAAGCGTCTGGCCTCATCCACCTCAATCACGACACGTCCAGGTTCCAGTTTTGTCAGATGGGTCTGGCACAGAAGTAGTTACATTACATGTCATTTAGCTGACGCTTTTATCCAAAGCGACTTACAATAAGTGCATTCAACCATAGGGATGCAAACTCAGAAAAACAAGAGCAATATCCTGAAATAAGCCAATTTGCTATAGATATGTGGCGTTACCAGTACAATTTAAGTGCTACAATTTGTTCTCTATTAGTATTACTAATTAGTCTTTTAGTCGAGGTAGAGTCTGAAGAGGTGTGTCTTTAGTTGATGTTAAGGACGACAGAACTCTCTTCTTGGTCATATTCATTTCCTGCATTGAATTTAGTACCAAAGCACTATTAAACAGGAAATCCACAACTGATAAGATATGCTATTTGGCAACAAGGAATCCAAAGTAAGTTATTTGGAGGCCAGATTGGCTGACCAGACGCACAGTAATGTTTTTTTTTTTTGCTGTTGACATGACCATTTTTTATTATGACTTTTAAATAAACCCAATTCTTTATTGTAGTGAGAGTCATGTTCTTTTCGAAGAGCATGTAGTGTGCATTTGGCTCTATTTCTCTTTTTTTATGTATTCATCTCAGACTGTTGTCGTGGAAACTGAGGTGTCGCTACGTAGGCTCTTGGCAACACGAACACTGTTTTGACAAACCGTGCGAATAAAGATCTTTGGAAATGTTGCCTTCACCGTGTCAGGCATCAGAGAAATGAAGAGGTGGGTGGAGTGGAACGATTCATCGTAAACTGGTCTCCAACTGGTTGCTAGGATGAGCATATAGTTTAATTTTGAAGGATGCGCCGAGTGACGCCTCAGCCTGTTGGTTCTCTTTTCAAAAGAGAGCCTGACTTCACATTTCCCTTTTTATTGTTTTACTTTGATCTTTTGGCTGAAAACCTAATTGTCGTACCAGGAAAAGTAGACATAAATGGTCCCTCCATTTACTTTTTAAGTGCACCAATACTCCACAGAAGTGAGTCAACGTGCATATTACCAGGGCCCACTGTAAATGGAATGCAGCTATTACATTGTTATTCTGTTCAGGCAAAGACAATACTAGACTAGGAACTGAAATCCTACTATATAACATTACTTAATGATTATCTTTGATTTAGGGCTTGGCAATATATATTGATTTATTGATCGTGTGAAATGAGACACAATTTCCTGGAGCTGAATGTCTCCAACAACAGAGATTATCTAAATAATTGTTTATTCACTTTCCGGCTATGAGCTAATCAAGCCATGTGGTAGTCCGGTGCCCGTCCGGGGCGTACATACCTTTGCCCGGTGTCGTCTGGGCTCAACTAGCAGCTGTATGTAGTCGCAACCATCCGTGAGTTTAGCTTATGCTTTGATACGTAGGCTTGCCCGGGACGTTTCTTGTGACAGAGGAAACAATTACAGCCACAGTAATAGGCACTTTGCAGACATGAATATTTATGAGAAAATGATTACGGCAAGAAAACATATTAATACATTCTGTGGGTCTAGTTTGTGCCACCACCTCGCACATTTAAGGTGACAAATGAGTCTTTCCTGCTGTGGATGTTAGTCAAACATCAGCCTCTGTTCGACTCCCCTGTCGCTGCTGCAGAGCGAATCAAGGGGAGATGGTGGTAGAAGAGGATGGCTGGGGCTGTATAGGTCATGACCTGCTTCTGTAATGCTGCATTAGCAGGTGGAGAGGTGAAGCATGCAGCTAGAGGTTAGATCTAACACTTCTGCCGTACACAGAAAAGCATACACGCATCAAAAATCCTCAGAGGAAACTAGCGTGTTGTAGCATTCAGCTGCTCATCTTTAGCCTTTCTGTGCTCTGTCATTCTACAACCATGTTCAGCATGCTCCCACATAGAGAGGATTGAACTGATAGTGGCCATAATGAACAGTGTTTGAGCGTGGAGTGGACCTGTATGAATGCATGGTTTCATAACCGCTTGATAAAAGCCTTTAATTTGAATGTGATTGGTCTCCTCCTGTTCCAGCTCTCAATGACACATTTATCAGCTGGCTGTGACTGTAGTGCGTTCACCAAGGTGACGGTAATGGCATTGCGCCCTCACCACAAGAAGCCTCCACATAACTTATGACTCATTTTGATGAAAAGGCTTGCTAAGGAGTTCAATCTGAGTGCAGCTTCTGCGTGTGTTTTCCTGTGTGTAATGGAGTTGAATGTAGTCGTTTTTTGCCTTTTTTTATATATATGTGTGTGTGGGAGAGACAATGAATAGCAGGGGAGCAGACTGTGATGGCCTTGCTTCCACAGTCTGCTCCCCTGGGTGTTGGGAATGATTCCTAGTGTCCTCCATCAGGACTGGGTTACTGCAGCTCCAGCTGCAATCAGCCTCTCTGCTATATCACTCTCCGTATTCTGGCAGCCTTATCTTGTTATTTTAGCTTCGTTTGTGCTATACGTCAGAGTTCACTACAGGGGTATTTTTAGTTTTGAGTTGTTTTCTTGGCTACGTTCATATCTTCCCAGTGATTAACCGTTTTGGATCCTTACTGCATATTCCCATTCCAGTAGAGTTTACATTCTCTACAAAAGAACCAACTTGATTTTTCTTTTCTTCTTTCTGATGTTTGAATTTTAGCCAGACTCTCGGCCCTGCCGTCTCTTTCATATTATTTACGTTTCGTCTGTCTCTTTCCCAGGCATATGAACTCTCCACCCTGACGGGGACCCAGGTCCTGCTACTTGTGGCCAGTGAGACGGGTCATGTCTACACGTTTGCCACGCGCAAACTCCAACCCATGATCACGAGTGAAACGGGCAAAGCTCTGATCCAGACGTGCCTTAACTCGCCGGACTCACCGCCACGCTCCGACCCCTCCACGGACCAGCGCATGAGCGCCACGGGCTTCGAGGAGACGGACCTCACCTATCAGGTGTCTGAGTCGGAGAGCATGGGCGACACAAAGGTTAGAGTCCAAAAGTGGAAAGGAGACAACAATTAAGAACAGCTGTGAAGCCCCATTAAATGCACACATTTATAGCCCCCCCCCCGCCCCCCCCCCTTCACACAGCGTATTTTCCCATCTTTCAGAAACAATCCTACTTGTTGAAAGACTTTATGACTCACTGTCTGCATTCTACTGGAGACATGACTTGGATAGCAAATAAGCTAAACAAACACCGTAGAGAGTCACTGATGGATATAGTGGAGAGCAAAGAAAAGCAGCCGTGGTTAATAATCTTTATCGTATTGTAAGCAGTTGTGAACTTTTGCCTTTAATTTGTACGGCCTTTGTCTTGGACTCACTGCTTGCACCATGTCATTTTTTAATTAAACCGAAAACTCTGAACCCAAGGCAGAGCCAGATAAGAAGTAGAGTGTTATCCCGCTCACTAAAGGGAGCTGTCTACACTCTACCTCTCTGACCCCTGCGCCTCGTAGCGCGCAGAGATAAATCACAGTAGGTCTGGGTTGTGTTAGGACGAGAAACACGCCAGCGGCTGAATGCACCACTTTGCCGTTTGTCTCTCATTTTGTTTCGCCTTCATGGATGAAACCCTGAGATTGTGAACAGAACTCGCACCTCCGAAAATATTTGAGCAGAACCGCATTCAGACCATCTAAAAGGGACAGAAATAAGTTGAATTTAGTGTAAAAAGATTTCTCCTCGATTTGTCCTCATGATTGCTATTACTCTGCCGTTTGGCCTCCTCATCCCCAACAAAAAAAAGCTGTTGGGTCTCTGATTCTCTACTCCATCACTGCAAAGGTTGTTGAACCTCAGGTCTTTGAGATCTTGAAGCCAGGCGATAAATTCATAGCAGGACACTCTTCACTGTCCACACCTTCGGGTACTCAGGTACTGGAAGCCTCCCCTCTCCCGCTCATTGTTTACACGGCTTAACGACGCCCCTTTGAAGACGCTTCAGGCCTGGTTGCATGCCTGCTGTTTTAATAAGGCACTACCTAACACCTACCATACGTCGTCGTGGATGAGAGATCAGCGCTGGCATGGTAAGCCCCTCTCATGCCCGCTCTGCTCATTGATAAAAATTAGATTTGGCCTCTGCTGCCATATATGGTATGGTTTCCCTGCCTGCTCTCTTGGCTGAGGCCCCTCGCATTCCTTATAAGCTGCAGCTGTCTTTGGAGCCCTGTGATCCGCCCCCCCACCCCCACCCATTTAGTGATGTGGAGGAGAGGTAAGGATGTAGATATGAGCGGCCTGAACGGAAACATTGGCGCTATATTTTACACCCCTGTTTTGTGTGACCTCTATTTACGTGGCTGTCGGTGACGCTGTACCCTTTGCGCCCCCCTCCCCCTGCTGCAATTACGAGTGTGGGAGAGCAGTGAGCTCCCCATGAAGCTTGATCACTGAGGGACACTCAAAGTTGTGGTAATGTGATCCGGGTCGGGATCAGCGACGTTGTGATTAGGACAGGGCGATTGGAGTTTGCTTTCGGAGGATTCATTTCTCCTCTGCAGCGTCTGGACACTATTCATCAAGAGAGGAGTATGTCATACATACAGTGCACGCTAGTCTAAACAGTTCGGCGCGGTGGGGGGGGGGTTGAAGGACTTTTTGGAGAAGCAGAGGACAAAGGGTTAAATGATAAGTGTGTTTTGTTCTTATTGCCATTAATAACTGGCCTCAGCTCGTATTCGAGATTTGCAGTGACTCCGATCTACGTCCCTTCCAGGATAAAAGACCAACAAAGCCATCCTCCAATTTTCAACATGTAACACCATATGTTTATTACTAAAGGATCAACCATTTCCTGTTGGGTTTCAACTTAAATTATAAATCTCCACGCTATTCCCCAAAATGAGTTTCTTCCTAAATGCACTTGCATTGGTGGAATGGATCTTGCAGTGTCCGAGTTATGCTTTGTCACCCTCCAACTTCCATAGCTGATTGCTGTGTTTGATTGTTTGTTAAAGTTTGAGCCTGAAAAGGATGCAAGTTACATTATTAGGGCTGACCCCTCTCTGTTTGGTCTTGCAGTAAGTGACTAAAATGTCTCCGTTTGGTAATTCCTTTTTTTTTTTTTAGATGAATAACTGACTTTCAAGAAATCTGAACAGAGATTCAAAGCTATGGTTGGTAATCTTGAGAAACTAGCGAGAGTGCTTTGTAGGAAGGATCCAGTGTTGAAGGCCGGCCTAGTGTCGCTCTCTCTCCTCCTTTGGAAGAGCTGGCCTTTCCTCCCAAATGATTACGATGAATTTTCAAACCCTTTCTTTCTGGAGGAAGTCCCTTTTTTAGATCTGTCAGTTAAATCAACTAATCTTCTTAGCCAAAACAAGTATGACTGTAGAAGGACTTCTAAGGATATCTTTGGTCATGGACAGCCTGACACCACCATGCAGAGTTTCTGATTCCTATCTAGCTGGTGCGAATTGACTCCGAGGCCAATGTCACTAGGCTTAAATTGGGTACTGAAAACTAAGCTTGTGAAATGTCATCTAGCTGTGAAAGGTATCGGTATGAAGACCCTGGTCTCTTTCCAGAAACTTGGTTTGGCATCGACTTAATCTATGTATTAACCCATTCCCAGTGTTTTTATTATATATCTGAATGCCACATTAAAGTAAAAAGACGATACGTTTCAAGTTACATAACTGGAGAACCGCCCCTCTTCTGTTCTTGCTCTTGTAGCGAACATTAAGCACTCAAAACCAACAGCTGAAGAGACAACAAGTTCAATACTGTTATCCAAGGGCAGTACAAATGCATTCTGGGAAACGTTATGTCTAATACAAAGGTGAAATGAGGAAGGTCAAGGGAGAAGGAGTAGCACCCAAAATGAATACCAACACTTCACGATGAGGGTACATTTGTAACTATTGAGGCGTCCCCCGGCAGGTCTTAAGGTGGTTTTTGCTTCTGCGGCTGTCTTGATATTAAATGAGCCTACAGTGCAGATGTTTTTATGGTTATTTTTGGAAGTGGGGGGATGGCAAATCCCACAACTGATGTTTGCTTAGAGGATCTAGCTTAGGACAGGATTCTCAGCATCTCGGTCTCCTCTTCCTTCTCTCACTTTCTCTCCTTCCCTCCCTATCTCCATCTCTCTCTTCCATGCTGCTCAGACTTGCTGTTGTAGTCTTGGTGAAGCCTTTGTTTCCTTCCTGCTCATTACCCAGGATTGCAGTGTCTTTATTGCGGTAATGTTGCAAGCAAAATGTCCGTACCAACAGCTGCCATGCTTGTTTTCCTTTCATTGTGTCTGTTTGGAGGCCCTGCGGCAGATCTGACAGCCTCTTTATTGAACAAATTGCATGCAATTTCTCCCTGGGGAAGTGATTTGATGAGTAATTCACACACTTAAACGGAGAAATATCCTTGAAAAGAAAGTATTTCACAGTTTTTCAATCTTTCTTTCTTCCTGTCTGAACTGCTGCTGTGGAGCACAGCAGTGCCTTGAAGTAGGCGACAAGAGAATCCCATAATGGAAAGTTAATGTACTTCTCAGATATGCGCTCTTGGCACCAGGGTGCTCCTAAACGGCCTGTATCTAGAGGGGTTGCATTCTCTGAGGGATTCTGGCGTTGTCTGCAGGGAGAGCAGCATGCTGGCTGTGTTAGAGGGGAGGAAAGCGCCCCCCTCCCTTTCAACCCCCTTATTTTACAGCAAGCAACTGCACAGGTCAGCCGCCATTGGCTGCACCTCCTCCACTTGGGCTGCCTTGCCTTTTTTAGCAGTCCCAAATGGAGCTGCAAATTCCATGTTGCTGGCAGGGTGACAGCCGGGGAGACGGGAGCCAGCAAATGGGAGATTAGACGAGGGCCAGCAAACTGCACAATGGGCTCTGCAGCCAACGCTGGACCAGCCCGCCAGTTGTCACCTTCAGTTGGGAATGACTAATCCCTCGGGAAGAGGGAATCATTTGTGTCCTGCTCTTTTTAATTCCTCTCATTTATGCTTGCTTTAAAACAGGGTTCATCGGGTGCTGTCTGTGAATGTAAGGAGGTCCCTTCACCATGTTTTGAAAGCACTTTTACAGAGATATAAGGAAGCCTCTCTTCACTTTTGGTGTTTTTGTTGCACAACTACAAAAATGAAAGAACCCGTAGAATTATTGATTGTGTAAATGAGATTTCTATTGCTGGACCCTTCTGATTTTAGGATTTCCCGTATGTTCAGAGGAGGGATAGGAAATGTCATGGCACGTTACGAATTTTTAGTGATGAAGGTGAAGAGCAGGAGTTGACCGGGCTTAGGCTCCTCTGGAGCAATGCATTAGCTTTAGCCGATGTTTGCTATGCACTGCCTTGACTCTGAACTAACAGCCACCACTGTTTAGAGACCGGCCAGTTAGACGCAAGACGCGTGGAGCTGGTCAAACAAGTAGTAGGTCAGTGGAAGCTCGCTATGTAGGTCACAGAGATAGAGGTAGTTAGTAGACCTTTTAGACCCTGCAGGATCAATCGGTGAAGCAGAACCTTTGGTGCATGTGTTGGATCCGAGTGGAAACACAGGAGGAAGGCCATCTCTTGGGATGGTGTAAGATTTGAAAACTCATTTGGAAAAAATAAGATTACCAAAGAAAACACCCAAAAATCAATGTGGTAAATTTTCATACATTGCATTATAAGCATAATCGTAAATATTGTTGCATGACTGATGTTTCATGTCTTTTAATGGAATTATACGTTTATATTTTGATAATACGGTGAAGCACTTCACGGAGACTTACGATGTCCCATGACAAGCCAAATTTGTCATTTTTGCGATGGTATCTGGCAAAGCGCATCGGTGAATTCAGTCGGTCTTCTATGAACCCAATGCTGAGAGCGGCTGCTGTCGTTTTACTCACGCGGTGCTGCCTCAGCTGGCCTGAAAAGGGTTAATTTCCCTCTCAGAGCTGCTCAGGTTTCCCGCCAGCTGTCTGTCCCCTCAGCTGTTTGTATCCTGTCCCTGACCCTCACCCAGGTCTGCGTCTGTGGCTACAAAGTTCTGCTTGCTATGACCCCGCTGTGATGATCCAGTCCCTGTTCCCTTCTTCTCTTATCTGGACTCCCTGCACCGACTTCCTGTGAACATTAATGTAACACATGTCGCATCATTTGAATACAGAGAAGTCTCCTGGGAGAATGAAGAGGTGGGGACAGCTGTGACTGGCGTTGTCCGCTCTGTGGTGAGCGACGGGCCTGAACATATTGTTCTTATGGGAGTTTATTCAGCTTCCCCCTCGTGGTTGAAAGGGCAGAACAACTGTGACTCCTGTGTGTGGCCCTCCCTCTTTGACTTTCCAGCTGGTGTTTAACTAAAGAGGTGGAGGACCTTGGACCGTCGAGCCCCTCGGATCTGCGCTGCAGACGAGCTGATAACCCAACCGTTCCTTCCTGTTGATTTTGAGTGGTTTGTGTAAAACAACCCCGTTCCCCCATGCTTTGAGCCATACTAGCAGCTAATCCAGCAGCTGGGAGCTAATCCTTACAGTAGTCAGCGTCTTAGTACGTGTTTGGAAGGTCTTATCATTCTGGATGATCCACCCCTCACCTATGTAATCAGTCACATATAAAAACCAATAGTGCTCCAAACCAATAGAAGGGGCTGCTTCTACGCCTCCGTTCTGTTGTTCATTACAAATCAACTTTTCAGAATTTCCATTTTATAGGACACAACACACCCCGTTCCCTCGCGTGCTCATCTGTTGTGACACATGGCTGTGGTTTCGTGTAATAAGCGTAATCTGTTACACTGCCGCACCGTGTCGATCTGTGACACAACATCTGTATCTCAGTCCTGCAAAGGACAAGGCCTTGAATGGCATGTCCTTCAGAGGCTTTCATTTACACCACAATTAATATTCTCTATCCTCAGTAATGGGGACACAAATTTCACAAATACATACATGAATTACTTGCCATTTAGCTGACTTGTATCCAAAGCAACTTACAATGAGTATAAATACATGGGTTGTGAAGTTGTACTGCAATACATGATAACCCTGAGGAAATCATCAATGCATTATGGGATACAGCGGACTGTAAAGAATGCTGGTTGTATCCTATAAATTCAGCCCTAACCCAAAGAGAGCTGCATGTCCTCGGCCATATATATATTTTTTTAAATGTCCTCTGCCCCCCCCCCTGCGCAGTGGTGTTGGATCTGTGATTTTCTGCCTGTTTCCACTGATCCCAGAGCAACAGGAAAACGTTTACATGCCTGTATATGGTTGTTCCCATTCTGCTATTGGGTATCATTGGTTTACCGGCTCCTCCCTGTCTCCCCCCTGTCCCTCCCCCTCTCTCATCCAGCAGCCCAATCCCCAACATGTTCACATTGGCTTTACTCGCTACGTCTCACCCCCAGTGATCAGAAGTTTCTACACATCTTCTGGGCAATGTCACATGGTCAGATAGTTGTGCTCAACAAAGTGTGCAGAAGTTGTAACTTGCCATGGTTGGCTCTTAACTGACATAGGTTTGCGTGATGAGTGATGAGTGATGAGTGTGTGTGTGTGTGTGTGTGTGTGTGTGTGTGTGTGTGTGTCACTTGTAGGGGTTTTGTTACGTGTTTGCTGATTAGTGTTTAATCGCCTTCTTTGCTGAACACTCAAGAATTGTACCCTTTTTTTCCAATTTAAATGCAGCTTTTGGCCCATCTGGACCTGAAAACCGAAAACGCTCCCGGCACTGCACACAATATCACATGTGGCAACAATTAGAGGGGTCCCAGGACTTGTGTATGTCATTTGCTTTTCCTCTATTAAAGCCCACTGTGGGGTCTGCCCCCCCCCTCCCATCCAGTATGCAAGTACTCCAGCCTCCTCGGGTCAAAGAGGAAAAGCCCTAATTAATGGTGTTGTTCGAGGTGTCCTTATGTGAAACCTTTTCACTGGCATAAGCTGGAAACACAAGCAACTGATGACGTCATTAGGGATATCATATAAAATGAAGACGTGGGGGTTATTCATAAGCTACGTGGTTTATATTTGGTTTATATGCACTCTTCATATTTGCATTCCTTAGTACCTTGTAATGCAACTGCTGCGCAACAGTTTGCCTCTGGTTGAATAAGGTTTTTTTTCTTTCTAAAAGGTGTTTGCATTGACCAGTCACTGAAGGCACTATTGAGTTGCATTATAGGAATTGGAGGAGCAAGTGCTTTTTGAGTTGATACCATGGTTCCTTTTTTAGACGGCCTGTCAAGTTCTTCAAATTTATGGAAGCAGAAAACCAAAAGTCCCCTCGACGTTGTCGTCTCCCTTTGACAGAATCCAGTACTGATTTTGAATTTCCACCAAAGATCTGCCCTTATCTTGATCTAATGATAGTGTGTGTGTGTTCTCACACAGGATACCCTGAAGCCCACCTTCACGGTAGCCAGCCTACCGGGCAGTACTAGCAGCGCCCAGTGCACCGTGCCCACCACCTCCACCACCATGCAGGTGAGCAGCGGCTCTTCGTTTCCCATCACCAACTACCTGGCCCCCGTCTCGGCGAGCGGCAACATCAGCGCCAACGGCACAGTCCTCAAAACCGCCGCAGGCTCTGCAGGGGTCATGCAGCTGCCCAGCGGCTTCACGTTCATGCCTGGTATGTAGCAGCGCTCTTTTTAAGTGTCCAACTCTTTTCCTTAAGAGTTGAAGTGATGCCTTCATGTCTTGTGACCATCACTGTTGTGGACCCTTATTAGAATTAGAATTGTAGTGTGCCTTGACCTCCGCTGTCTTGAAGTGGTCGTGCCCCGCTCTCTCTTCAAGCTGTTAACATCACACAACAGCCCTTCATAGCCAGTCGTCACCACTCGGCAGCCTTGGGTTTTACAAAGCCTTCGGTGTCCAGGAGGGCCTAGTCTACTGGCGCCCGGCTCTGCCTTTGATTGTCAATCGGGGTCCGGAATAATTAGGTGAGAGCGAGACAATAGGCAAGGCAATGAGGGATGACGAGCACGGCCCTTAATTAGTTATGAATATTCAATGAAGGATCAGTGGCTGAAATTCTAATTGCTAACTCCCTGGAGCGGGAGCACGATGACCCAGCGGTCCTGAACTAGAGATGGGCCTCCATTGGGGGGAGGGGAAGGGGACTTCCATAGATGCACTCTTAAGCACACGGGCTCTCTACTGCACCAACGCAACGAGGACACGGGCCGGCGTGACGGATCCTTGGGTGTCTCTAAATTGGCTTTTCCCAGTATTATACTTCCTTTTCATGGTTTCAATACTTCCTCCCACTCCCTCAAATGTGGACATGCAAAGAATTCATGATTCCCCCAAAGACTTAGAATATTTATAATAATAATAATATAATCGTATCTTATCTGTGTCTTATACAGTATACGTTGTTGTTGTTAACAAGAGTCTTTGTGGCAGACATGATGCCCACTAATTGCCACTCTGTTATTATGAGTGAGTCAGTGCCCGCCTCCCTCTTTTTTCTTTCTCCTCCTCCTGCAACCTTGTCTCCCACCCACCCTTCCTCCCCCTCTGTCGCTCCGTCCCCATCTCCTCCTCACCACCTGTCGAGCACGTAGGGGTGATGCCAGGTGGAACAACACACCCTCCCACACTAAACCCCCTCAGCTGACAGCTTGAAAGGGTCCGCCCTCCTGCAGCAACTATTTATGGATGCATGTGACCAAGTACGATGGTGCAACTCCTAAGTCATGTTCTCAATTTAAATTAACTGCAATGTGGTGAGAGACCACACTTTGGTAATAGAATATGAAACGAATCATGCAAAAGTATTCACAATCTAAATGTCATGTAACAAGTCCCCTCTGTGTAAGCGTTTTTTCAAGTGGCTTCGTGTTTTGTTTGAAATGTGTCACTTTCAAAAATGAAAATCCCTCCATGCTGCTTGCTTTGCTGCACAGCGGTCACCGTACTTACCTGAGGATGTGGAACAAGCTGCAAACATGCACTTTTGTGTCGAGCTAAACAGGAATACGCTGTATTGTATACTGTTCTTTGGTATTTAGTCTCACCCCCTCTGTGTGCCCCTCCAGCAGGCACTACTCTACCCCCTGGCACTCCCACCATTCCTCTGAGCCAGCTGCAGCACTCCCTGGCCCTCCAGGGGCAGCATGGTCAGGCCCTTGCTGCCCAGCAGCCTCCGCAGGGACAGCAGGCTGTCTTCCGCTTCCCTGCTGCTGTCTCCCTCGCAGGTGACCCGCTTTGCCACGATGGCTGCTTATGCTAATCACGATCACATCAGTGAAAGCTGCTGCTGCTACTAGTACTTTTAATGCGACCTCTTCTGCTCTCACTACTAATCGTGCACCTAATGGTGGGACTACTAATTCTACTTTCACGACGACTTCCTCTGTCCATCGTGCTGCAAAGACTTCCACTGAGGGGGCTACTTGTGACTGACTGTAGTTGGCTGTTGCCCCTCTGTGTGTCTTCAGGACCAGGGGTTCCCCAGCAGCTCCAGGCGATCCAGGTACACCACAACGCCCAGTCCGGCTCCAACAGTGACGGCAGCCTGGACATCTCCCACACCTCCACAAACTCCACCGGTTAGTCCCATTTAGTTTTCTTCTCTCTGCTGGAAGACCCTGTCGTCTTGTCTCGGGGATGTGTAGTTCTATTTAAAAACTGATCTGAACTGATTGGTGCTCCAGTTGGTGGAAATAGTTTAACATAAATGTCATTAAAAAAAAGGTGCGATAATGAATATTTATTTGATATAAGCATGACATGCAGTAGCATTTTTGACGTTTTACCGAGGAATTTTCACATCCTAATTTTAGTTTGGTCAACTCAATGGGTGGGAATGATGCCCTGTGGAGCAGGGGTGTCAAACATACGGCCCGCTGGGGGGTCCAGCTCGGCCCGCCGGACGACTTTACAGGACAGGAATTACAGGACAACATAAATTGGATTTTTTCAAAAGGTGGCGTCTCCACACAGCCTGAGTAGGAGTAGCCTTTGGATCCATGTTCCAAGTGCCATCTGCTGGCCAACACGTGTACACACCTCCAGTACTCAGTGTGGCGTTTTCTCCCTCTCCCCTTCTCCTCCCTCCTCTGCTCTCTCTAGCAACGGTGAGTCTCCCGGCAACCATTGTCACCTCATCAATGCCAACGTCTGTTGCGGGTCACATGATGTACCCCAGCCAGCACACAGTAATGTACGCCTCCACCCCGACGCTGACTGACGGGGGGCTGGCAGTGCTCAACGCCTTCTCCCAGGGCACCTCGGCCATGCAGGTGTCCCACGCACAGGGCCAAGACTCAGGTGAGACACCAGATGGAGAAACCAGATTTTTTTTTAAATGGTCCATTTCCAAGAAACATATTGCTGACTTTTGGCAATGAAAGAACGTTCTTTGTTTCCTACCTTAGGTGGTGTCCCTCAGGTGTTCCTCACAGCACCTCAAGGCACGGTGCAGATCCCTGTTTCAGCGGTGCAGCTTCACCCAGTACGGCAAGATCTGCATTTTACAAGTGAAACTCTCATATTCCCTATGCAACCAGCATGCCACGTGAGCGCACTGATGCATCCTAACAGAGCACCGGCACACAGAGGCCGCAGGGTTGTCCGCTGTTGCCCTTTTTTGGGGATGAATGAATGATCGAGTGGCAGCTTGTTTCACCTGTGACTTTCAGCACAAACTTAACAAAACACAACTTTAGCGTGCATGTTGTTTTAGTTGGCTTTATAAAGTACTGTGTTATGAAGAAAGCAATTGGTTTCATATATGCTGGTATTTAGACTGAATTTAAAAAGAAATACCATAGAATTAAAAAATGTTGTTTAAAAAAAAAAAGAAACTAACCTAATGCTCTACATTGCACTGTATAGAATATTACTGGGAAGAAACTCATTGGAATCTTGATAAACATGCAGCATGTAGCCAAGCAGTACCTCCATCTGTGCTGGGAGTGGGGGTGACTTGTGTCGGGCCCTTGTACCGCCTCCTGATGCAGCCATGTTGTGTTCCAGATGGTGATTGGCCCGCAGTCGGGCGGGAGCAGCAGTAACCTGACGGAGCTCCAGGTGGTCAACTTGGACGCAGCACAGAACTCAAAGAGCGAATGACGGACGGAGCTGTCCGATGCAGACGGACTTGCGTACATCTCTATTTATTGATGCCTTCCTGCAGTGTCACACATCACACTTGGCAACCTGACTTTAAAGTACATCTTCACACACAATCAAGGGCCCTGTGGCTGACCCTTGTATGTTTTTTGGTATATAAATATATATATATATATATTTGCAAATGCATAGGAAATATATCACAACATCCATCAAAAGAACCCATTTTCTATGCCCTTTGATTTTTTTTTTTGTGTGTGCGTGTTTTATTTTTTTGTTGAATTTTGTAATTACATGTGTACGCACACACACACACACGCGCGCTGCAAGGTGCCACAGCTTCACACCAGCCAAAGAGACATGTGTTTGTCTGAATGTTCCAGTGTGAGCAACTTGTGCACAACCGCGTGTGTGTGTGTGTGGGGGGGGGGGGGGGGGGTGTGTGTGCCCACGCATATCTAGGGGGTGTAAAAGAAAGGAGGGGAGGCGCTTATTGACTTTTGGAAAAGTATATAGGTGTTTTTTTTGAAAACTCTATTTTTAGCCCTGTTTAATTGGGGCGTCCGCACGGAGGTGTTTTTTTACACAGAGGGTTTTGTATGTACCTGGAAATAGACTGCGCGAAAAAAAAAAGATTATATACGACATATGTGTGTGTGCTGGGGGGAAGTTTAACTACAAGATGAAGGCGGGGAGCTGGATTTGATTTTCTTTTCTACATGTTTTGTGAGTGAGATTTCGTATGGACTGTCCCTCAAACAGGATCAAGTACCTTGGTCACAACATGTAAAGCAAAACATTTGAATTTGGATTTACTTAAAGATGACATCATTTTTCCCTCCCTGATCTGGCACTTTCTCGGCGTGAAATACGTTAACTATGACAATCAGATTGAAATCTCACCTTTTGACCCATTGCGATCTATGTTTTCATTTGTGCGCGCACACACACACACACACACAAAGGCAGCACAAGTGTGACATAAACACACATCTTCACATTGATTACTATGTTCACTCTTTAAATGTAACAACTTTTGACGTCCCTTCTATGGGAAACAAACTTAACAGCTTTTCATCACTATATTTGTTTATGGTCATGAAAACCACATACACTTTGTTTTAAAAAAGCAAACCATTGCCACCACTTGACTGCATAACTTTAACCTTGATTACTGACTTGAGTCATTGGACACAAATGTCTTGCTCAACGCGACACTGTATAGACCTGCCAGTTTCCCTTCAGTACTGCTATTAAAGCATTGTTTCCATGTATGGATGCACTCTTGTTTGGGGCATAGTCAATGCTGTAGTATTACAAAAGTCAGTATGACTTATTTAGGAGAAGTGACTTCAGGTGCTTTGAATTATTGATGTACTGCTTTAAGGCAGGACATACCTCTGCTATCACCGACATGGCGTTCTGAGACAGAGCCTTCTTTCTGCACCACAGTGCCTCTCTATGGTTACGGTCTAAATCACTTCCAGGCATGGGACATGCAGGATGTACTTATTTCAAAACCACCGTACACAACTTAACATGTGAGAGTTTGGGACGAATTTGTACAGAATTAGCCAGATGCCTGAGCATGCGGGCGTGAAGCCAAAGAGAGGTAGAGGATGAGGTACCCATTTTGACGCTCGCTCAATGTCCTCTGGTCGGCGTCATGTCAACCTCAAGGATTGTCTGTGTAGGAAATGTACAGGCGCAAGACATTTGATTCCCCCTCTTCTGGCAATTTTTAAAACATACTATTTTAAAAGGGGATTATTGGACACCTTGTCATTGAGAGAAATGGTTATATGTATTTTAGTTTTATTGTACAGACATTTTGTAATAAAGAGATGAACCATGACCCGTTCAAATAATGACCACATATTCTGCTTGAGATCATTTATTTTTATTGGGGACGGAGAATGTTAAGGAACCCATATTGTCCTGAATAAAATTGTGTTGCACAACTGTGAAATTGAAATGAAGACAGCTGATAAGGAATAAATGTGCCGGTGACTCAGATGAGTGGGCATGCACCGTAACATATTTCACGCAAAACTGGCCGTAAGATAGAAGTATGACGACACTAGTCCCCATCACACACACTAAGAAATGCAACACGATACAGTGATTGGTCCGATCTGTCAAGAAAATGTATCAGTTGGCATCCGATTTGTGCCACAATTAACACCTGCAAGTCCCGCACAACTTCAACCAAACCAAGAGGATGTAACACAACGAACAGCAGTGATGCAGAGAACCTTTTCACGATCGAGTCCTCAGAGACTCAACACATCGCCCAACAACAAAGTGCTGACAGCTCAGAAATCATCAGATGCCCCGGCCCCCTTTCTTCTTCCTTTTGACAATGAGAAATAATGTAGAAGCATGCATTTACACCAGGTAGTATATCGTTATTGTACACATACAATATACAAATTCAACGGTTGGAAATAGTTGATTAAAAATAAAATGTGCGTGATTTGATCATTTAAAAAAATGTGTTCCTATAAAATAGAAATGTTAGTGATTTTTGGGTTGATGGAAACATTTGGGAAAAAAGAAGACATATTTTGTTATGAGCAAGGATGAAGAAAGGCAATGTGCAAATCCAATTCAATCCAAGCAGTTGCATAATGTAGCTTGGGGTGCTTGAGGGCCGGGGGTAAGAAGGGACGAGGGAGGCAGGAAATGAAAAAAAGGCTCACGATGGGGAACTAAAGGCCCAAATCAACAACGCGGCTCGTCTCCCACCACAAAAATCAATCAAGGAAACATACCCACGGGAAACAAGACACAGCAACCAAACACACATTGAGCAGCAGCTTGAGAAGTCTGGTCAATGAACGGCCAACAGAGACCAAACAATAGGAAGCGATAAAAGGTAACACTGCTAGGAGAGGGAACAGCACACAGGAAGTGCAGGTATGGAGGAACTCACCCTCAAAAAGTGTTTTGGAGAGGAGATGATTAACAATATCTGCTGGCAACGTTTTCCACTTACACAAGGTTTTTAAATCAGACTCTCCTCTAATCTAGTTTTCTTTTGAATTACTTGGAAGTAAAAAAACAACTTAGAAACACCATCAAGTAGACAAGTTCTGTTTCAGCGATCAAAAGCCAATACAGATTGGGACGCTGCAGTATCTCCAAATAAAGATCAGCTACATCCTATCAATACAAAGAATGAACAGCTGAGAACTACAAATAGCACAGTCTCTTGGATACTTTGATGAAAGGAACACTGTTGTGGGAGAAAACAAAAAGTAATGCAGAATCTAAATCCTGTCTCTTCCCACTAAAAGCATTAACATGAATAATGTGACAAGTGCGATGAGGTCTGTGTGCAAATTGACATTACTTGCTAAATTCACCAGATAATTTCAAAGGCATGTGATGGCTGCGGATGTCTTTGGGTGATGGTGACAAGCTTTGGGAGCACAAGCATTTAGAGACAAGGAAAAACCAGGGACACATATGAAGTAAAGCATTGATTTGATCTCAATGTGACAGTTAAAAAGGCAACATGAAAGCAAACAAATAAATAAAGAGGCGGTGGCATTTAAAATATGCAGTGCAGTATCGTAAATACTGCAGTTTGATATGTATGCAACTACAGGTACATGTAGGGGCTGAAGGTATTGGGCTTTCCCCCCTCTGGTCTTTAAACAGACAACACATGAGGATTTCAGATAAAAATGTTTCAAAAGGGAACAGTCTTCTGTAACTGAAAGGTGCGGCTCCACACTAAGGCAATGATGTTTACAAATGGGTTATGGAACAAAAATAAATACACAAACATATTTTTCTCATTGGTATAATAATTACAGGGCTGTCTTTCTGCTGGTAGAGAAACAAATGAGAGAGAGACAAAAAACACAGAGGCGGGATATGTCCAGTGACCGTCTCTCTGCACCTTGTCCTGTGTTCTCCTCTTGGTGCTCCGCTGGCCGGGCAGTGTCTTTGCTCCACACCCAAGATTGTTTACAGTGGAGCCCCAGAGGCCAGAGAAGGGGTGATGAACTTACAGTCTTGCAGGGGTGAGCATTTAGTGGTAAACCTTTGACAACCCTGTGGCACCTGGGCCACCAACCACAGAGACATACCCAGAGTCCTGACCCGTCTGCCTGGCCGAGGCAGATGGGGTTTACGGTGAGGAGGCGGCCGCTGCGTGGTATTTCACAAAGGCAATGGCTGCAAGCTCTTTGCAGAACTCCTCAAGCACGATCACCCCCTCTAGAAGAGTCATATGGTCGATGCTACAGGACGAGGAGACAGAAAGGTCAGCGGCGCTGGACAAAAGTCAGCTCAGAGGACACAAGCTGAAATGGCGTGAAAGTACGTACTTGATGCCCTCGGGCTCCAGGCCGAGTAATCTCTTCCTCACGAGCAGCAGTTTGGGAGTGAAGTCTGGGATGCGCTGGATCCTCAACATGAGATCTCCTACCACCTAGCGCACGCGCACGCGCACACACACACACACACACACACACACACACACACACACACAATTAACAACATATCACAGCTTCCATCTCTTCGGGGTGAAGATGCAACACTTGTAATTTGTTTCTCCGATCATTGGAGCTGCTCTTTACACTAATTCAAAACCCAATTCAAAACTATATTTTAAAGATGTATAGTATGCAGCACATGGTGTGTTTCTTTACAAAGGATGTAGCTAGTGATTGTAAACCACATTTTCTTTTTTTTCAACCCGATGTTGATACAAATGGATTAGGTCAAAAATGTAATTTTAAAAATGTGTATTAGAATGTTTGCATGCATATCTGCTAATGACCAAACAACGTTTTGCATTTCAGTTAAATTACCCCAAAATTTCCAGTTTGTTCCTGTTAATTCCCATGGAAAGTTTCGAATTTAGATTTTGCAACCCTAAATGGATCAGATGGCGACTAGAATGTAGACGGGAGTCTTACCCTGACAATGACAGAGAACAGAGACCTGCAGCCAGGGGCCAGGTTGATGTAAGGGTCCAGCTGGTACTCGTGCAAGTGGGGGTGGGGAAACAATGACAGCTTGGACAGAACAGCGGTCACCTGCAGGTTGACCTCGTAGGGCTGGAGGACAGAGGGGGGGGGAGCGTCAGATACAAAATGACACAGATGATTAACTGGTGACGAGAAGGAACTAAAGAAGAAATGCGTGTAGAAGAAACTGTCCCAATAGCCCCGAGCTTTTAATGTACTCATGAATGAAGAATCCTTTCACAATAGATTTTCTAAATGCAGAAACCCCTTAATGTCCATCTTCACAATTCCCATCAAACATCATCCGTCAAATGACTCTATGGCAAGGGATTATTTTAGTAGTTTTATGTTAAAAAAATGTAATACTCTGCATAATTAACAGCTGATTTGCGTAATCGCCCCTCATTTACCCTCAGTAGCAGTGCACTTTGTTTACCAGCAGCAGAGTTCATCTTTGGGGGTCTGGGAACATAAGCTGTGTTCAAACTGACCTGATCGAGGATGCGACCCATCCTGTCGAAGAGCACCTTGAGGAAGTGGCCCTCAAAGAACGGGCTGTCCAGGTTACACTTCTCAAAAGGCTTTGGACTGCCCCTCCAGTCCCACCGCTGGCACACCCCACAATAGTCCCTGAACTAAGGAAGCACAAGCACTTAGAATCTATTGAAATAGCAACACATACTATACAGGCTGCACTAAGGGGATGGGGGGACCAGTTACCCAGAATGCTTTCCTCCCCACTTCAAACCTCATAGAACAAGCCGTACCTGTCTGTGTGCATCTCTGAGGTAGGTGTCGTAGCCTGTGCCCTCCACGTGATACGATGACTTGGCCTCATCGGGCACCAAACAAAGGAAACTGCAGGGAACACCGATTGAGTTGAGCTTCTCCCGAGGTCAGAAATAGACTGCAGATGTTGCATGAGGAGCAGACTGTACCTGTTGACGATCTTGTGCACCTCCGTCTTCCCGTCGGACTTTGAGTGGTCCGGGCTCTGTGGTGGGGAGGAGCTGAGCCAATCCGAACCGGACAACCTGCTCTCTGGAGAGGTGTCCTCACCAAACAGTGGATCCTCCTCGAGGTCTCTGTAGAACAACACCTTCATTTAAAAGTATTCCGATTTGCAAGAACAGTATCCCACCTGGATCAGTTCTACTGGGGCAAAGGCAAACGATGTTCACTTTTAATTTGTTTTTTGTCTCTCAACAAAGAGTAAAGACACCTGTTGACACTTTGGCAACTCCTCTGTCAGTGTTTGAGTTTAAAGGAACGAATATGGGGTCTCTAATGGAATGGCAGCATGTCTTTTGGGTTGCTTCCCACATGGCGACCGTCTTTAAAATGTTCTCCCCATGCGGTGACCTCATGACCCCCCCCAACATGATTGTATCATATCATGTGAAGTCTGTATAATCATGCCGCCCGACTTTATTCATTCGTTAGAAAACTAGGAAGCTTTGTGAAGAAACTTCTCATGGTATAATGGTATATCAATTAAAATATTATTAGTTTGAGTGGCTGATATTTGTGCCTGACTAACCATAGCTTAAAAAGATTACCCCAATAAGAAAGTATTCAAGTGAATTGATTGTGCGTTGGTAAAAACACAGCTAGTTGATGCATTCACTTTATTTCCACCGGTGTATGTGTTTTTCAGATTCTTCTCAAATAAGAATTGTAAGGCAGCCCAGGAAGCTTTATGGTCAGAGGCAGGTCCTTACACAGCATCGTGGGGCTGCCCGTTCTCCAGGGGCTCCCGCTCATCCTGCGGCTTGTTCTCCAGGTAGTTCCTCTCCTCAAGGCTGCGCAGCAGCAAGCTGTGGAGGATGTGCTGGTTGGGCTTCTGAATCAGCTGCTCGAATAGCCGCAGGGTCATGATGCTGATCTGAGGACACAGGAGGAGGACTGAGGATACGCTCCGACCAGAAACCCACAGCTACATGTCACTGACAGAAATGTAGGCAGCGGCTGTTTCAAACATCAGAGAAAGATGATTCATCTGTCTTCTGTGTGATGACAATATGTGGCAAAATCCATGAGCTTTGGAAATCATCTGTATCACTGGCGTCTGGAACTCAGAAACCTCAAAGGGGAGATGGTCATTTGTACATTAGAATGTCAAACTAATGAATAGTGTTTGAATAGTGTGAATGAATAATAGTGTTTGTGTTTTCATAATTTTAGGCCAGTTAGATGCAATCTTGAAAGGGGAAAATACAAGAACAAGTCGGCTGAACAAGACATGACATGAATAATCACGTGATAAGCACCTCGTCTGACAGATGGTCGCAGTGCTCGATCAGTCGGTGACGGAGTGGATTTTGAGTCACGGACGCTGGAGTCTCCGGCTCGCTCTCCTCCCCGAGCAGGAAATAAATCATCTCCTGCAGCAGAGCCTCTGAAGTCACTTGCCTGATGATCCGGTTCAGCAGGGCTGTGGAGGTCAGGATGCCTACCTCGGACCTACGTGTACCCACATGCCCGCCATGCGTCAATGAGCGGGTCACAACACATAACACACAGACAAGACCAAAAATAACATAATTGATTGATGATTCGACGCCAGACTTACGTCTGCATGAGCTGAGGCTCCATCACAGACACAAAGAATCTCTCTCGCACTGCTTTTGCCATGACTGCAGCTGCTGACTGGAAGAGAGAGAAAGACTCAAATGTACTTCTGCCCTTTCTTGCTTTCAGATACAAAAACGCTTTCATGTTTTTTTATTCAGCAGATTGTGAAGACAACGTGACAGATTAAAGCACAGTGTCAGCATTGGTTATGGACCTTCTGAGCCTCTTTGATGAGCTGGTCACAGTAATCCAGCCAAGACAGGAAGGAGATGAGAGCTCTCTTCCCTGTAAAGACAGCAGCATCCTCCTTCAGGTTATACACATCCAGACTGAAAGAAAGGGGGAAAGATTTATTAAAGGTTTGATAACAATCCACGAGTCCATGTAGTGTTTCATAGAGTGCCTGCACCAATCTCGTCTAAATCAAGCAGCTGTGCAGGGCAGGTCCTGCTAAAAACTGCAGTGGCAATAATCCCACTAATGATATGTTCTCCCCCTGCGGTTAGTGGCTTTTTTCAGATCTGACGACGGTAGATTCAGAATCCATGGCCCGAGTAGTAGTATTGAAATGCTGCCAACTTTCGGAGCATGATTGTACAGATTACAGGGCACAAGAAGGCAGATTGGGAAATGCTGACATGGAGTCACGACGGCCTATGTATTGTGCTATTAATAATAATGCCAGTATTCCCGAACCGCAAGAAGTGCGTGTCTTGTCTGCCTTTTTAACCCCACAAGAACCCATCGTAACCAGACTTGTTAGTGTGGGCAAGTGGTGTTTGCCACTCTTATAGAAAGTAAAGAGAAATTTACCCCCAATTCACTGACTCCACTGTTTCAATGTCTACAGGGTCCATGGACTGAGGGAGGGCTTTGTAGAAGGTGACCAGCCTGTCGGTTAGGAGCTCACACAGCTCAGTGTTTTCCGTTAAACACTTAGCAGCTGCAGGCTCTGGTAAACTGACAAGCAGCATCAGGCCCTCACATGCCTTCACCACTATCCTGCCATCCTGAGGAGGGAACAAAGGGATACAGCTCCTGACCACACGTTTAACCCAAATTACCTACATTAAAGTCCTTTGAGAATAACTTACAGGGCTTTTTGTGAGGTTGAGCAGCGAGGTGACAAGATTGTAGTTGTTGCTGCTGCTTGTTGCACTGGAGGAGGAGGCAGCACCCTGAAGCTCCTCTGGTCGGTCAACCGTCTCCTCTGCCAGAGACTGTCCCGTGTCTGGAGCAAACACATTTTCCTCCACCACCTCTGTCCCCACGCGACTCTTTGTCTCAGGTCTCTTTGACTTATTCTGCAGATATTGTAAATAAACAAATATTCTAGTTATACGAACAGACAAATGAGTATGACTTGTGTCACATGTATTCACCCCATGGTGCCATAACTAACTTACCTCAAGGAAGAAGTCAACGAGATATGGGTCCTGCTTCAGTTTGGCACAGACTATACAGAGGAACTGAATCTCTTCATTTTCAGTAGGAGCCGTCAGCACCTCCCCACACAGACGTATCAGTTTCTGAAAGAGGGATGCCAGTCACAGTGGCAAGGGAAAACGTTACGAATGACTTACATAACCACTCAGCTAGGAGCATTTTGAGGAGGATGACTCCAATCTACACTGCATCACTTCTCACCTGTACAGGTCTGTGGACATTGATGTGTGGAAGGAGAGGTTGCCGAATGTGTGCTAGCAGCTTTGTGTAAAAGGTGAGCACCTGCTGCTTCATCCCTGGAGGACACTGATGGAAAATCATGGAAACAGAATATGTTAGAATGTGATATATACCTATATAGAGTGTCCCCTCCCTGGGTGGAAATATTGCAATTAGGGGGGGAACTCGAATAGCCGACAATTTCACCCAAGGAGGAGGTGCAGTGACAAAAGAAAGTGGTAATGAAAACTAATAATTGATCCTTCCTAAATAACAACATGGCTAATTCAGGCACATACAACAGCGGTTTGCGTTTCTCTTTTAAAAAGCACTCAGTGTCAGTACTAACCCAATTCCCCGTACAACTATTAGTGAAGTCACCGCATTAAATTTCATCCAATATCAAATACACAGGTGTCCTACGGAGATCTGCATCTATTCCTTGAGGTATAGTTCATGTAGTTACCAAAGCATGACTGCCTTACATCTGCCTTTCCCAAGGTGTAGAGAGTCTCCAGGATCTTGTGGTGTAATAGATACTCCATGCAGGGTCCTGTCTCTCCAGACTCCCTTTCCCTTTCCTCCTGGGTAAGGATGTCCAGCATCTGTTCCAGGTGGGATGGAATGTTGGTGTCTGTGACCGGAGCTTTGTCATCTAACAAGGGGAAACAGACAAGTTACAATTGTTGGTCTTTCCAACTGATGTGAACATACGGGAGAATGGCATGTAGGGCTGTTAGGTGCCAAAGGAACCTCGTTAATGACGAGCATTAAGAATAGCCATTTAAAAAAAGACCTATCTTCCAATACTCATGTTTCATACCACGTTCAACTTTCTTCAAGGTAACTTTGAATTAGTTATTGTGTAGACTTTGAAGAAAAAGAGATCAGCTGCAAAAATACTCAAAATAATCAATTGCTGCCAATTGATTATTTTGAGTATGTTTGCAGCTGACATTTTGTTGGACTGACATCTGACTGACCTAATAAGAAGAACTGCTACAAAGAAACTTTTTATTGAAGAATAAGGAAACTTTGCTGGCCCAAAAGGACGACATAACAACAGTTCACATTGATGTTGTCTTTACAAGACTGTCTGTGTACAGTACCAGTCAAATGTTTAGACCCATTTTCTAACTGCCCTGCATTTGATACATTTGTCCTGTATTAAACCTGGATGCTTGAGCACATCCCCAAGCAAACATGAAGGACGCACTCATAGTTGGACAGAAATTGAGTCTATTGCAAACACATGCTAAAACACTAGCATGTGTGTATTTTTCAGTTGGCTTGGAACTAAAGACACCAATGACAGCCAAAAAGCCACCTGCAGTCAACCCGAAAAGTTGTTTAACATATTTATTCACTTTTCTTACCAGAGGTCTCAATGTAATAATGTGTAATGGCCTTCCAGTGATAAACAAAGTCCTCCTGTAAGGGCAGCGATGGGGCGAGCTGAAAGACAAATGAAAACATAACCATTAAATGAATGTTTACACAGGGAGCCAACATAAACATCGTAGGACTGTATGTATGTTGGTGTTGTAAATATCACAATTTATTAACGTTATATCATCTCTGTGGTTCATGGTTATAATGTGCTGCTGCAAGCTGGCTTTGATCACAATGCATTGATTAAGACACCGCCCAGAAGCTTTCCAAATGTGAAATGTTGGGGATTAACGTTTGCGCAACCTTAAACAAGTCAGCCTGTCAAAGCTAACAATGCTATGTCGTTACCTAGCAGTTAACGCTAAGTAACGTCATAGCTAGCAATGCTATGTCGTTACCAAGCGGCTAACCTTAAGTAACGACCATAGCATTGCTAGCTATGCCGCTAGCAGCTAACGTTTAGCTTACGGGGGCTCTAACGTTAATAGTTGGTAGTTAACATTAGCGGCTAACTAGCTTAGCCTGCTAAACTGCCTTATCGGCAAAGACTTTCAGGAATTACAAAAAGTCAAGGCGAAATATGTAGATTAACGTCTTAATATTATTATTATTAATATAATCGGACAGAGAAATAAACACACCGACTGATATATTATCAATAAATAAAATTGACAGCACAAACACAAAACGCTAGTATTAGCTTGTGCTAATCAGTTCAGCTCTCAGGTTAGCGATATAACGTCAACCCAAATGCTGACGTTATATGTGATGTAAGGGCGACCAAGGGCCCCTTTCAACAAAAACGGACGATACACAAAGGCAGGAGATCGGACAAATACATGATATTGCTAATAAACTCACCGCTTCCACGGCATGTTGAAGAATGGACGTGAATTTGGAGAACATTTTGTTCTTCGATTGGACAAGTTTCTCCCGAGAAGACCTAGAGAATTCCTCTATCTTCTTCTTCCTGTTGTTGCCGCCTCGATCCAGATTGGAGCTTTCATACAACGACCCTTTTAACGAAAGAATATAGTCAAGCAACACAGCCGTAACACGATGGTGTCCTCAGGTATTCATAGGCCTGGCTCAACCACTGTAAACAAGACGTCTACAGACTCAAGTCACGTATTTCTTCTTTGGACACGGTGGCACTTCTTCAGCCAAACGCTACCGTTTGAATCCACCAGAGGGCGCAGCACACAAAGCACCGGCGCATAATTACTAACCACGATCAATGCATCGAATGAAGAGTACATTCATGAGCGACGGTTGATCTGTAATTTCAGCTTGGAGACGTCAATCAATACGCCCATGTAAAATATTCAAGCAAGTATGGGATTCCCTTTACCAAGCAATGCATGTTGTATAGAAATCATCCGATGAGCTATAAAATCAATTGATTAAGCTGCCACATGATGCACGGATGTGGGCTATTTCTATTGCGGTGTTTTTCCGACATAAAGCTGAGAATATACGGAGCGGCAGGCTTTAAGATGTAGTTGAGGAGTCCACGCGATGATTGGCAAATATGTTCCTTTAAGTAGCCGGATTCATGGAAAAAATGCCAGAGCGCCTGTCAACTTTGTGATTTATCCCAACTACCTCGCCAAGAACAGCACTGTCACCCCGGACAAAAAAGAACCAGGCTACCCGGTTTTACGCTTAGGCGACCTGGCAGCAGCTGCAGACGATACATTTCTCCAATTAATGAATTTAGTCTCCGCGTTTGTGTGATAACATGTTGAAATGTGCACATGAAGTTGTTGCGAAATAAGGATGCTGTCTGCTTCAGGACACGCCCTGTCGCTGGAAAGGGCTCCCTTCCATCGCGCGCTGTGGTCTAGCCTATATAAAAAGGCTGTATGCTTCCGTGCGTTTAAGCCCAAAACATGAACGTCAAAAAACTTAACGTACAGATAACATCAGGCTGCCAAACACCGTAGCCCTTCGAAAGTGTCACTGGGGCATCTCCTCCCGGTTATCTCGGCAAAGAAAGAGGCACTACCTACCGGGCATGTCTGCTAGAGGTGAGTATCTTTTGCCGCAGAAGCCTTCATTACCCAACACATACACGAAACAAGTCTCTTAATTGCTATTTTCTGGAGAGGGGTCTTGGCTCAAAAACGGATGCAATGTAGAGGAGAGACCGTTTTTGCGTCGTCTTCAGGCTGCGATAATGACAGTGTCGGTAAGGAGGTGACACGGGGAGTAGCTGAGACTGCTGCAGCCTTTCTAGACCGCATAAGTTATTGTGTTCAGATGATCACTCTGTTGTAACCTATACCTATACCTTCTGGACAGTCCCAGCTGTGATAAGGGATCCCCTTTAATGGAGGATTTTTTTTTAGCATATTTCTAATGGGTTGGTTGCAGTGGTGGCTGTTTGAATATGTTCAAGGTATTCTATACGTATATGGTGAGGTATATATACATTGTAACAAATTGCTGTAAATTTACAGTGCATTTCTAACGGCATCTTACAGTATGTCATAATAACTAATATACCGTTAAATTTCCATCCCTTGCTTGTAAATTAACAGCCAAGTCATCAATAAACAGTTAAAACTGTCAATTTACGATAATGGCAGACTACCGCAATTCAACTGCATGTAACATATAATTTATGAAGGGGTGGAAATACACATACAAGTGCAGTGAATCACAATCCATCTACATCTGTTGTAGATTAATGTATGGAAGCCCATGTCAGCCACTGAAAAACAGGTCCTGTAAGTCATCATAATATCTCATGAGATACGATGATGACTTTGACTTACAAAGTCATCATCGTATCGTACATTACTATACATGCAGCTGTCACTTTTATCCAAAACGCCCATGGTTTGACATAATTTTATGTGGAGTATTTGGGGGTTAGGTGTCTTGCTCAGGGACACTTCAACTTGGCACAGGGAGCAGCCAGGATTCGAACCACCAACCGTGTGCACACCCTCCCTATCCCATGCGCCGCCTTTGCCATTGTTTCAGTGGCCGGAATGTAAAGATTATAAATATTTGTATTATTCAAAGTGTTCATTGCCTAAAAGTCATTTGAGTGTCAATCGTGACCGACTGCTCCTGAACGTGACGTCAGATGCGTAGTCTCAGTTCATCCAGAACACCTGCCAGTGCATCGGAGGAGTTTCTCATTGCCTCGTCTGCGTTCCCTTGGCCTGTTCACACATTTCATCATCGCCCGAAAGTTATTATTACTCTCATTGAAGAAACTTCCCTGTAGTAATTATTCATGTAAATGTTTATATATTTGCATGGCATTTGACATGTATGAATTGACATTAATGTTACGACGGCGATCACCAGAAAATAACACCGGAAACAGCGTATAAACGTTATATTTGTATTCTAGAACACAAGAGCAACACCCTCCAAACCACATGAAACACACAATGTTGCCCCAGTGTTGGCACATCCTAGTAACCACCACCTTGAAGATTGCAGTGTGCAATGCTGGTAGCTGAGGTGTCTGAAGTAGTTGAAGTATCAGCTTAAACATTTGAATCTGTGATGAACTTTTTTGAGCTTAAGCGAGCAGAAAAATTGTCTACTTGAAGGTTTTGAGTACGGAATTTAGAGTAATGCTATTACCTCTGCAGCGCTCTAAAATCATGACATATGCCAAAAGCATGTAAGAGAGACCCAGCTATGCAAACAAACCACTGAAAAGCTCTATCTCTCTGTGAACAATGCACAAAAAAAGAAAGGGATTTCTTTCTCTGATAGACATTACTCCACTATAGCTGTATATAGAAAGTGGTTGTGAGCCGTGGTCTGCTAGGCTGTGAACTTTTTACTTTCAAACCAACAATCTACTGACTTAGTTTGGTTGTCTTTCTTTAATTTGTGGGGAATTACATGCAAAAGTATACGGTTATAAGTAAACGGTAACATTCTGGTATTTATAACACAAAAACAGTAATCCTATGGTAACAAACTGTAATCTAATATACGGCAACATACCGTATATTACGGTAGGGCACTGTAAATAAAACTGTAAGTTACTAGCGTCGACTGCCAGTAAATTGCAGTTAATTCACAGTAAAATTGGGTAAAGTTTATGGTAACATACTGTATTCTACGGCAGTGTACCATAAAAAACAGTCAATTACTGGCATCCGCTGCCAGTATTTTACCGTTAATTGACTGTAAAGTTTACGCCAATTTACTGTAATCCATTTTACGGTAACATAGTGTAAAACAATTTATGGTAATATACCGTAAAATAAATGGTAAATTCCTGGCGTCCTTGCTGCCAGTAAGTATTGTTAATTTACGATGAAATTTGTATAATGTGTATATTAGCACATCTTGATTTCTGTGTATTTGAAGAATAGAACATCTTGATTTCTGATTATTTGAAGAAGAATTTTGTTCTTCTGTCCTTTTGAGTGGCAAACCTCTAAAGTTCCTTCTTATTTAAGTCAGGAATGTCCCTAGCAAGAGAACACACAAGCTTGGGGCAAAACCAAAGTGGCCCCAGGTTGACTCTATTTATGGCGCTGATTGGCTAAATTGTGTGTCACGCATATTTGAATTGAATCAGCAATTGGCTAAAGGGCTTATTAGAACCGCCTTCTGCAGGCAATGGTTGGTTGTGAAACGATGTTGGGTGGTGAAATATGAGGGTTATTGTGAGGGTATTTAGCCAGTGACGTGACAAGTGACAAGTCCTTATTTACAAAAGGAGCACAAATGATAACCATCAGTTATCATTAGCAACAATATCAGATTTTCTCAGTGGAGGAGACTTTTCTATTTCTTTTTGAGCGTAGATCGGCTTATACCCGATAACAGCCCAGGAGGAGCATGTTTGCGTACCAATCAGAGGTCCTTTGGTGGATTTGCTTCAGGTGACCGTCTTCTCGAAGAAGAGATAAAGAGCCTCCAGCTGTTCCTGCTATATTGCCTTCAGGTGGTCAGAAATATTGCATTAGATCTGTAAATATGGGTCTGAGCCCGTTATTTCGTATAAAACATGTGTAAAGCAGCTCAAGCTGTACAATCCATCACTCACCATCAGACTCTGTAGGATTGTGCCTGTGTAGAATGAGGCTTCAACCCCCCCATCACTGATGTGGCCTATCTATCCTCCATGGCTGCTGGTGGATATCGATGGAGCTGTGAGCCGGATGTCCCCCCTGTGGTCAATAAATCTGATTATCACGCTTTAGCACCTGCAAGCCGCCAGTCATTACGTATGATAAGTAACTGCACCCTACAGTGGTGGCACTTTACCTCTGTGTTGGCTCATATGTGATGTTATTCTTATTCTAAGGTGCACTAGCTAGTACTTCCATCTGTCATGTACTGGACATCTCCATTCACAATATTTACTCAATGAACATAAAGGGTTTTAGTGTCAATAATATTTTATTGTATGTATTTTCTTTGTGCCATGCAGAGAACCTGAAACCACAATCCATAATGTTTTTGTCACTCAGAATGTGTTTTAGATTTTTATCACCTTTAGAAATATAATTGATTCATCAATTAAGTAATTTCTTTAAGCAATATGACATATCATTTCTTCCAGCTTCCCGACAGTAAGCATTTGCGGCGTTTTCTTTTTTCAAATGTGATAGCAAACATAGTATCTTTTATTGCTAGGCCAAAACCAACAGCTTAAGATATCCCATTGTATTTCATCAAAACATGTTTGTGGTGACTACAATCCGGTAGAGTCACGTGAGGCTAAGTACGGGAGATTGGTGTGTGGACTCGTTCCAAACAGACGCAGATTCCTCCTGTGAAGTTCATTGATTTTATTGTCCGAAAGTCAAAAAAGTAAAAAAACATCCAAGCAGGCGAAGCGATACATGATGTGCGACGATGCAATAAAGTGCGCTGTAGAATACGGTCAACAAAAAGTATCGTCTCCCGACTCACCCCCATGTCCATACAACCATTCCTCCGCCTAGATGCCTACACTCATTCATAAACCACTGCACACCTGCCCACGTGACTCTGATGCTAATTACATTTCAAAATAAAAGTACCAACCAATCACACACAGAAAGACGGCCGCTACAATGTTGTTATCAAAAATTAGCTGCATAATAAGGATTACTTATTTTAGCATCTATAAATCTATTGGCAGGATCCAAAACATGTCAGCCGATGGAAACATTTTCATTCCTGACAACAGGAAGACAAAAAAGACCTCACAGGACTTTTTTCCCTGTAGTAAGCATTTATGATGACCAACATTCCTCGTTGGTCTATCCATTTGCTATTACTTTACTCTCAGTCTTACAGTCGCCCTGACCCTCACCCCCCCCACCCCTATCAGCCTACGGCCATGAGCTGCTACCTTGGTAGTGATGCTCTTCCATTAGTGCCCCCACCTTACAATACTCTCTTGAGGCCGTACCGCTGTCATGCTGATCTGGACCTTTCAGCGGCATCATATTTCCTTTGCTGTTATTCTGTTGTCTAGAACCCCATCACATGGTTTCTTTAAAAAAACAAACATTTCTTTTCATAAGTACAACTCTTTTCCAGTGGATGTTGTTGTCAGAGCAGATAAGCAGTGCTTCTGTCTCCTTTCCAACCAGTGAGCTGTTGCTAACAGTTAGTGGTTTATGGTCGGAGAGCGATTACTGACTGGGAGTGAAGTGCTTTGTTCAAGGTCACTTGGGTATCGATTAAGTCCCTCCATCTCCTCTTGGTTGAGGAAATCAACCTAAAACCTTTAGTCCACCAGCACAGTCTCTGCATTTATTATTTTGATAATTTGTTGTTCTGCTGTTTACGTTGGCCAATCAATTGGTTGATGAATTTACTGTTCCTCTTCCCCTTATCTTCGCTCCGCTGCAGGATCCTAAAACAACATGTGGCCTGTCAGAGTTCTCCATGTGGGTTGATGTGGTTCACCCAGGCTTATAATAGTCCTGGGATGTTTCTAAATGTTACTGTGTCACATTTCATAGATGTTTTTGATGGAATTGTTGGACTGTACAATGCTTTTCTAGTTTTCCAACCACTTGTCATCATTCACACACTGATGACAAGAACTACCATACACAGTGCCCTTCAGTAACTAGCATTCACATGAATGCCAGGCATAATTTTTATTTCAGCCTAACAAGATTGCACACAATTTATTTCAGGAGACATTACTGCTTCCCAGTGGTCAGATCTGACAGGTTGGCTTTAAGTGTCCAGCTACGCAGAGAAAACCCATCTTCAGTAGAGCCCTGCTCTGACC